TTTATGCCGTAATTGTAATTACGTTTCTAATTTAAAACACTCTTTCTGAATATTACAATCACCTTGGAAAAAAATGTATTTTAATAAAATTTTACTAAATTCAGTATTTTATAAAATTTACAACTTTAACAAATTTCTTAAGGCAGCAATCAAAGCAAAAAATAATTTAAAGTATACAAATATTTCAAATTAGAATTCTGAAATAATTTGTCAAATAAAGTGAATCAGATATTATGAGTATATTTTACATATATCCTTACATTTTGCAATTAATATTCTCAAAACTTACGTGATATGCAATCTAAATATACTCATAAGATAAATCAATTTAATAAGAAATTCTTAATTAAAAATTAGTATCGTTTAATAATAAATAATACAAATTTAGTAAATAAGCATTTTTTAAATACTTTAGTAAACAAAAATGAAATATATCTCTCAGACATTCAGGGTTGTCTCTGAGATATCTAAAAGAATATCCTTGGGATATCCAGAAACTAAATATAACAGACATCTGAACGATGTTGGAGAGATATCAATGTTTAATTTAAGATATCCCTTGGATAACTGTGATAGGCCAAAGATATCTGTCGGATGTCTCTTGGATGTGCAGCAGACATCAATATCCAAATATCTGCTAGACATCACACAGATGCGACCCCTGGATTTCTGTTGGATATTTCATGGATATTCAGACGTCTCAGGGATCTCTGATGGATTTGGCAATATCCAGTTTTTTTATCCAAGAGATATCTCAAAGATGTGTTGTGGATATTTGTGGCTGTGTGGGAATAAAAGTTAGAAAATGGAAGATTTCAAATGTACTATAAGTGCCCTTGCCTCTCAGTGAAGTGGTTCCCACACAGCCACAAATATCCACAACACGTCTTTGAGATGTCTCTTGGATAAAAAAACTGGACATTGCCATATCCATCAGAGATCCCTGAGACGTCTGAATATCCATGAAATATCCAACAGAAATCCAGGGGTCGCATCTGTGTGATGTCTAGCAGATATTTGGATATTGATGTCTGCTGCATATCCAAGAGACGTCTGATA